CCATGGGTGGGGCAGCTTCCTGGAGAGGCCAAGACACAGTCCACACCTTGGGCCAGGCCAGCCCTGCCCTCCTACCAGCGATCCCAGTGCACCCTTGCTCAGCCCTGTAGGGACAGAGAGGGCATCTGCTCCATCCTCCTGTGGGATGCTCAAATGCTGCTTCTTATTTCAGGGAGGAAGAGGAAGACAAGATGTTGGAAGCCATGATCAAGAAGAAAGGTGAGTCCCTTGCTGGGGATGAGGCTGGTGCCCACTTGAACTTCGGCATTGGGGGTGGAAAGGAGGGATCGGTTGAGGGAGGGTTGAAGTGGGCACTACCAGGATAGCTGGGCACTAACTCTGCAGCCTGTTTTGCAGGGAAGGCTGTTGGGTGTAGCAAGAGAGGCCAGTTTACAGCCAGGAAGGCTGCGGCTTAGGCTTGGAGGGTAGCCGTGGGGTGCCCTGATGCCCACAGAGAGGACTATGGTATACAGGAGGTATACATTTCCAGGGTGTATTCGCCCTCAGCTGTGCATTCCCCCTTGAGATCTGCAGCTGGTTTTGTTGGAGTCTGTGAGCTCAAACGGCAATGCTTCCTGGGGACCAAGTGGTGCTTGGAACAGTTAAAAGAGTACCGGACTGTGAGTCAAAGAATTTGTTTTTTTTTTTTGTCTTGAGACAGAGTCCCACTCTGTTGCCCAGGCTGGAATGCAATGGCGTGATCTCGGCTCGCTGCCTCCCAGGTTCAAGTGATTCTCCTGCCTCAGCCTCCCGAGTTGCTGGGACTACAGGCATGCGCCACCACGCCTGGCTGATTTTTTTTTGTATTTTTAGTAGAAATGGCGTTTCACCATGTTGGCCAGGCTGGTCTCAAACTCTGGCCTCAAGCAGTTTGCCCGCCTCGGCCTCCCAAAGTGCTGGGATTACAGGCGTGAGCCGCTGTGCTTGACCAGGATTTGGGATCGGTCTTGGTTTCGCCAGTAACTCATTCTGTGGCCTTGTGGTTATGTCTCGACTCAGGCCAAGTCAGACTACCTGAGTTCTAGTCCCGGCTCTGGCACTTAGGAGCTGGGTGACTTTGAGCCCGCCACTCCACCACTTTGTTCTCATTCTTCCTATCTGCAGAAGGGAAGTGAAAATGGCACCCCCTCCCAGGCCTGTGCTGGGGATCACTGAGATGATGTGTAAGGTTTAGCTGAGGCCCTGGCCCTACAAAGAGCTGAGTTGGTATTATTCCATTTCTAAGGCCCGCATTTTCCTTGTCTATAAAATTAGGGGCTTGGACAGTTGATTTGGAAGGTGTCTATTGCTCTGACGGCGTTTGTGTCGTAAGAGAGCTGTGGGCACCAGCCTCGGTGAATTTAGCCTTTTATTTTATTTATTTATTTATTTTGAGTCGGAATCTTGCTCTGTTGCCCAGGCTGGAGTGCAAAGGTGCGACCTTGGCTCGGTGCAACCTCTGCCTCTCAGGTTTAAGGGATTCTCCGGGTTCAAGCGATTCTTCTGCCTCAGCCTCCCAAGTAGCTGGCATTATAGGCACATGCCACCACGCCTGGCTAATTTTTGTATTTTTCGTAGAGATGGGTTTCACCATGTTGGCCAGGCTGGTCTTGTGGTCAGACTGGTCTTGAACTCCTGACCTCATGATCCACCCTTCTTGGCCTCCCAAAGTGCAGGGATTACAGGCGTGAGCCACTGCGCCTGGCCCAAATCTAGCTTTTTAAAGATAAATGGGGCTGGGCATGGTGGCTCATGCCTGTAATCCCAGCACTTTGGGAGGCAGAGGTGGGCCAATTGCCTGGGTCAGGAGTTTGAGACCAGCCTGGCCAACATGGTGAAAACTCCATCTCTACTAAAAATATAAAAATTAGCTTGTCTCCAGCTTGGGTAACAAGAGCAAAACTCTGTCTCAAAAAAAAAAAAAATTAGCTGGGTGTGGTGGCTCATGCCTGTAATCCCAGCTACTTGGGAGGCTAAGGCAGGAGAATTGCTTGAACCCGGGAGGCGGAAGTTGCAGTGAGCCAAGATCCCGCCTGGGTGACGGAGTGAGATTCCATTTCAAAAAAAAAGAAAGATAAATGGATGCCATGCTTCAGAATTCGCAGAGTCTGCAGAACTCTGACCATCCTGACCTTTCCCCAAACACTGGAGGCAGGGACAGGGAGCGTGGGCCCCATCTTCTAGGTGAAGAGACAGAGGCTGGGAAAGGTGACTTGTCCCAGGCTCCACACAGGAAGTCGGGGGGCTGGGCTGAGCCCTGCTGGCCACGCCAGGGCTTATGTCACTGCCTTCAGCCTGCCCTGGATGGACCTGGCCTCCCCACTTGGTTAAGTGCCCCCCTCTCTGTGCTGCAGAGTTCCAGAGGGAGGCTGAACCCGAGGGCAAGAAGAAGGGGAAGTTCAAGACCATGAAGGTGCTGAAGCTGCTAGGAAACAAACGTGATGCCAAGAGCAAGTCCCCCAGAGACAAGAGCTAATGCACGGGAAGCCAGTTGGGGACCACGCCTTCCCGGGCCAAACCCCGGGCTGTGCTCCGTTTGAAGCGGTGCCCTGCCCCGCTCAGATCAGTCAGGAGGAAGATGACTAAGGGGAGGGAGCCTCTGGGCTACGGCCCCTCCCTCCTCAGGGGCCTCTGACTGCTCTGGGCCTAAGAGTCTCTTCTTCTCCGAGTCCCAGGCAGTGGTGACTCAGTCCTGCCCAACCTGATTCTGATGACTCCAGATGCTGTGACTGACCTAAGGAGCAAATAGGGTCCCAGGGTCCAGGGAGGGGCGACCGCTGAGCACATCCGCCCCCTCACCCTGCCCAGCCCCTGCCATGAACTCTGGCTGGGGTCTCTGCCTCCAGGGTTCTGCTCTTCCAGGCAGGCCAGCAAGGGGCACTGGGCCATACTGGCTTCTTCCCACCCCAGCCCTGGCTCTGAATCTGTCTTCCTGTCCTGTGCAGGTGCCCCTGAGTCTCAGTTTCCCTCACTCAGGAGTTTGTGACTAAGTGGCCTGTACTGTCAGATGTGAATGGGCCTGATGGGCAGATCCATCCCTCTCTCCCTCACAGTTGCAGGAGAGGCTTGCCTCGTCTCCCCTTATCCACAGGGAGCCTCCCTTGCCAGGTCCAGGGCTGCGATGCCATGCAGGGCAGGTGGGTGTCCTGTTAGCTGCGCCCAGTGTGGACCCCCGGCTGCAGCCTGGTCCCTGCTTGTCAGGTGGGGAGGGTGCACTTGAAGCAGGTGCTCATCTCGGTTCTTTAACATCTGTAGTCTGACCCCTCATTGAGGCTTTCCTCTGCCACCGCAGTCCAGGGGACAGGCTCGCTCCCATCTGTGGTCATCACTAGTCTGTCTCCTCTGTCATCTGTTCTCTCCCTGGCTCACTCCCACCGAAGGCCTGATGGCCACTCACCCCTCTGGGATGGCCGTGGGAGAGGAGGAGTGATGGGGACCACCACCTTTTCTGCAGGAAATGTGCCCAGCAGCTCTTGGTCAAAGCACTGTTGCTATAAGCTATCTCCGGGACGCCTCTAGGCCCCCTTCCCTCTACACACCTCTGGGAAAAGATCACACTGTATTAACTCTAGAGGAGTTTCCTCACCAATAAACAGAGACAACCTCAACTGCCAGGGAGTGCCCTGTAGCCTTAGGCCGCAGCGGCAGCCTTGTCTGCCCTCCTGCCTGCCCCTGCCACACCTGGTGGCTGGGCATCTCTGGTCTCCCAGAGGCCATGTTGGGGCTGTGTTCCGAGAGGGGGCTTTGTCCTCGCTGTCTGCCACTGGGTAGGATCCCTTTCCTCTGCAGGGAGAGGTGGCTCCTGGGTCCTGCAGCTGCTGGCAGGATTTTTCTAAACATGCCTGTTGGCCTGGAGCTGGAGCTACCCACTCCACGACCTTTCCAGGGCCAGACAGACAGGTAGCACGCAGGAGCCCAAGTGACAGAGCTCTGGCGAACTGTTCCGGTGTCTGGCAGGGGCAGGGCTGAACTGGAGACAGCTCCAAGGGCCGCCTCCCTCACTCAGGGCCAGACAGGTAACACGCAGGAGCCCAAGTGACAGAGCTCTGGCGAACGGTTCCGGTGTCAGGAGACTAAGGGCTGAACTGGAGACAGCTCCAAGGGCCGCCTCCCTCACTCAGGGCCAGACAGGTAACACGCAGGAGCCCAAGTGACAGAGCTCTGGCGAACTGTTCCGGTGTCAGGAGACTAAGGGCTGAACTGGAGACAGCTCCAAGGGCCGCCTCCCTCACTCAGGGTACTTGCGGCCTGTAGAGCTGAATGCGGGGCCAGTGTTGGCAGATCCTTCGTTTTTCATCCGAAGCTGGAAATCCAGATTTTATGTGTATGTAATTTGTAAACGTTGAAGGCTAGCCTGAATTTAAATCAAGGGTTGGCTGATACCCTGTGTCCAGGGTGGGCTGGGTTTGTCCTGGGGTTCTCTGGTTTGCTGCTTCCTGACCACATGATGGGGCCTTGCAGGTGGAGGACAACTTCCCATCAGATTGCACCGTTGAGGGTGTGTGGACACAGAGGCTTTCCATGGGATGTCCCTGAGCCAGCCCTTGATCAGGGCCCCATCACTTACAGGGCTGTGTTTATTCTGCAAACCAAAACTTGGGTCATGTGACCTGATAAGATTATGGGACTCCCTCCAGGTGCCCGAGTCAGGGTTGGTATTTCCAAAATATTTTGGTGATTTACTGGGACAGGCAAATGACAATACCGGAGAAGGTAGGGATCGCGAGTGAAGAAGCCAGAGGGGAAGGGGACAGATGTGCTGTGTACAGGACAAGGGGTCGGGTGACTCCTTCACAGGAGGGCCTCACAGAGAAGCTGGTGGGTTTTGCCCAAGAAAGGTCACATGGCACATGCAGGCCCGGGCTCTGGGTCCCTCGCACCCTTCCGTGTTTCTTTCTGTGGCCATGGGTATAGTGGGCAGACACACCCAAAGCTAAGCCAGCTTCGAATCCTGAGTGTGCACCCCTTGCCAGTTAAATGCCCTTGGTTGTAGCGTCTTGTTGACTTAGTTTTCACAGAGGGAGAATGAACCATTGCAGAGATTTATTGAGATCATTGACAGTGGAATTCAGCAGCTGCCACAGCGCCTGGCTGCGGGGTGCCCACGAGGTCGGTTCCCATTTCCACTTGAAATATGCAAACAGGCAGCTAGAAACCATCTGTGCTCGACAGATTCTAATGCCTTGAGCAAATAAGCTTGTCCCTCTGAAAACCAAATGGTGCTTGTGATGACCCAGTTAAATACGCTTTATTGCCCAGTTCATCGTTGTGGTTGAGTATTTGCCTCAGGCGGTAAGAAAGCAAATAAGTAAATCCTAAAACAGGAAGAAGAGAATCATATTCATTCCTGAATTTAAAAACTAAATGAACAGGCCGCAGGCCGGAGGTGGTGGGAAGCAGGCCCAGTGGATACCGTTACACACACGTCCAAGTAGGAACGCTCGGGCCTTGCTTTTCTGTGGATGGGGCTGTGGATCTCAGAGGCTCCAACGGCACCCGTGGGTAGGGGCTAGGGTGCTGAGTATGCCTCAGGGTACTGCAGGGCAGTGCTGTGCCACCATCTGAAGTGGCTGAAGGCTGGTAGGGTGGGCTGACCTGAGGCTGACCCTGCTTGATAGGAGTGGACTCCAGTGGTCAAGCTTGGGCTACCCTGCCCTGCCCCTGGAGACAGCTTAAGTGGTGGCAAGAGCCTTCCGAAGTTCCTCACTCCTCTTGTGGTCAATGTCTTCCATTTCCCGGAGTTTCTGCGGAGGGCATCAGGAAAAGCGGGTGCATCAGGGGTAGGAACCTGAGGGGCTGCTACAGCTGTGAGCTAGAGCCTGCCCCCTGCCCCCTGTGCTTCCATTTCTACTTGTGCTGGGCCCCTCCTCTCCCGGCTTCCCCAGTCGTTTCTCCTACCTGGGAGATTTCAGCAAGGATAATTCCTCGGTACTGCTTGCCCTGTCCCAGGGCCTCCATATCAGCCAGGAATTCTTTCCTCTCCTGGATTTCTTTCACCACTGGACAAAGGAGAGGGCTATCAGGCTCCCGTGAGGGGTGCGGGCAGCGGGTTGCCTCTCTCAAGGAGAGGAAGTTGTTCTATTGTCAAATAGTGTTCTAGGCTGGGCGCAGTGGCTTGTAATCCCAGCACTTTGGGAGGCCAAGGCGGGAGGATCACTTGAGTTCAGGAGTTCAATACCAGTCTGGCCAACATGGTGAAACCCTGTCTCTACTAAAAATACAAAAATTAGGGCATGGTGGCACGAGCCTGTAATCCCGACTACTCAGCCAGCTGAGGCAGGAGAATCACTTGGACCTGGGAGGTGGAGGCTGCAGTGCGCCCAGATCACGCCACTGTACTCTAGCCTGAGTGACAGAGGGAGACTCTGTCTCAAAAAAAAAAAAAAGAGAATGTTTCTCACTTGTTGGTGTCCAGTGGTCTCCTGACTGCTCCATCCAGTTCTGGGCCACCTCCTCACGTTACCCCACCCCCAGCGTGACTGGCCCGTCTGAGGCTTACACTCTTCAAACCGGTCCTGCTCGGGGGCTGGAGCCTGCTGTCGTCCAGGACGGGCCTTTCTTTTCCGTTCCTCTGGGTCCTTCCCTGTGGCAAAGATATTTTGGAGTCTTCGCTTCTCCTTCTCCAGATCTCCTGTAGGGCCAAAAAGACATAGCCTAGTTAGGCCGTGAAGGGTACGAGGGTTTGTGGTCTTTGTTCCCAAGTGTGTGCTTGCTGCAGGGTGCCGGCTCATGCCCACAGGGCTTCTGTGCACCCGGCTCCTACCCTGTGCTCCTGAGCATACAGTAATGTCAAGAGAGGCAGGAAGAGCTTGGAAGAACCAAGGAAAGAGGCCGGGTATGGTCTGTAATTCCAACACTTTGGCAGGCTGAGTGGGAGGATCGCATAAGACCAGGAGTTCAAGACCAGCCTCGTGGATGTAGTAGGACCCCCCATCTCTCTCTCTCTCTCTCTCTCTTTTTTTTTTTTTGAGACACTGACTCTGTCACCAAGAGTATTCGTGTCACGCAGACTGGAACTCAGTGACACAATTTTGGCTCACTGCAACCTCCTGGGCTCAAGCCATCCTCCCACCTCAGCCTCCCAAGTAGCTGGGTCTACAGATGCATGTCATCATGCCCAGCTAATTGTGTGTGTGTGTGTGTGTGTGTGTGTATTTTAGTAGAGATGGGGCTTTGCCATGATGCCCAGGTTGGTCTTGAACACTAGCTCAAGCGACCTGCCAGCCTTGGCCTCCCAAAGTGCTGGGATTACAGGCATGAGCCACCGTGCCTGGCCAATACCCCATCTGTTAAAAAAAAAAAAAAAAAAAAAAAAAAAGGCCGGCGTGGTGGCTCACTTAATCCCAGCACTTTTGGAGGCAGAGGCGGACGGATCACCTGAGGTTGGGAGTTCAAGACCAGCCTGACCAACGTGGAGAAACCCCATCTCTACTAAAAATACAAAATTAGCTGGGCACGGTGGCGGGCACCTGTAGTCCCAGCTGCTTGGGAGGCTGAGGCAGAATTGCTTGAACCTGGGAGGTGGAGGTTGCAGTGAGCCGAGATCACGCCACTGCACTCCAGTCTAGGCGATAGAGCGAGACTCTGTCTCCAAAAAAAAAAAGTTTGTCAAAACCCACATGCTGCTTTGGTGCAGAGCAAGGCTAAGAAAGAAAGCTCAGGAACCTGGGGACTTGGCGATGCCTGTAGTGGCAACCTCTGTGTAGGGGATCCGGGGAGGGGTTGGGCTGTGGCCTTGAGCCTTGCTAGCCCCTATCATCAGGAATTGGTAGATTCCAGTTAATTGTGAGTTCTGGAAAAATAAAAATAGAGGACCACATGACTGGTTTCCCCTGCACCCTGAATACCCGCCGAGCTAACGTGCTGAGGCTCAAAGGCATGAGTACAGAGTACATGAGGATTTGATCAGCTACCTTCCCACCTGCCCTGTGGGCTGCCTGCATCCCTCTCCCCTGACCTCCCCCAGGGAGATGGAGAAAGGCCCTAGCTGAGCCTCTCACTTACTGGTGGCTCGAGGCTTGAACTGCTCCCGGCTGTAGGCCCCATTGGCTTGGCACAGGCTGGCAGGCCGGAGGTGGGGATGGGCTGCCAGGATGGGAGGCAGGTAGATGGGCGAGGCTGTTTGCTTGGAAGGTAAGACCCTCTGGCTGGATGTTGGGCTGCACTGTAGGGGCAAAGCATCTCCTCCTGGGTAAGGAAGAGTTAGGGTGGGAAGGTGCACATGGCCTTTTTTTTTTTTTGAGACAGAGTCTTGCTCTTGTCACCCACACTGGAGTGCAGTGGTGTAATCTCGGCTCACTGCAACCTCCGCCTCCTGGGTTCAAGCGATTCTCCTGCCTCAGCCTCCCGAGTAACTGGGATTACAGGTGTGCGCTGCCAGGCTCGACTAATTTTTATATATATATATATATTTTTTTTAAGAGACGGGGGTTTCACCACCATGTTGGCCAGGATGGTCTCGATCTGACCTTGTGATCCGCCCGCCTCAGCCTCCCAAAGTGCTGGGATTATAGGTGTGATCTACTGCACCTGGCCTAATTTTTATATTTTTAGTAGAGACAGGCCATGTCGGCCAGGCTGGTCTTGAACTCCTGGCCTTGAGTGATCCACTGAACTTGGCTTACCAAAGTGCTAAGATTACAGGCATGAGCCACTGTGCCTTGCCACTTTTTAAAGATAAAAGCAATACCCACCTGTTAAAACAACTCAAACAGGCTAGGCATGGTGGCTCACGCCTGTAATCTCAGCACTTTGGGAGGCCAAGGTAGGCGAATCACCTGAGGTCAGGAGTTCGAAACCAGCCTGGCCAATATGATGAAACCCAGTCTCTACAAACATACAAAAATTAGCTCGGCATTATGGCGGGTGCCTGTAATCCCAGCTGCTTGGGAGGCTGAGGTGGGAGAATCAGTTGAACTCAGGAAGCAGAGATTGCACTATTGCACTGTAGCCTGGGTGACTGAGCAAGACCCTGTCTCAAAAAAAAAAAAAAAAAAAAAAAAAATCCTGCAGTAGTCATGTCCAAAAAAACAAACAAAAAAATTACCCGGGCATGGTGACGAGTGTCTGTAATCCTAGCTACTGGGAAGGCTGAGGCAGGAGAATTGCTTGAACCCAGGAGGCGGAGGCGGCAGTGAGCCAAGACTGAGCCACTGCACAGCCTGGACAGCAGTGAGACTCTGTCTCAAAAAAACAGAAACAAAAACAAAACAAGTCAAACAGTCAAGGAGTCTTCTCTTCGTCCTTTCAATTCCACCCATCTGTAATGAATGAGTGCTGGTAACGGTTTGGTGGTCTCTTTCCTTTTCAATGCTTATATAAACATGTTCAAAGATATATGTGCATATAAGATTCTTTCAAACACTGGATCATACTGTAATATATTAAAATAACAGACTCTTTTCACTTAACATTTTGTCATGGACATCTTTCCAGATCAATCCATTTATATATAACTTATTTTTTCTAACTATATACTAGTGTCCTTAGAATGGATACATTATTTATTCAGCTCTCCTCCTAGTTTCAGAAATTCAGGTTATTTCTAGGTTGGTTTGTTTTTTACTACTTCAAACAATGCTGCAATAAACATTCTTGTATATCAAATCTTTGTACTGGTGCTTTTATTTCTATAGATGGGTTCCGAAAACTTTCTGCATGGTCCATGGACAGGAAGGGACCGTTTGGATGGTAGCAGCTACCTATCTCTCCTGCTGTCCATCCCCCTGCTTGGCCATGCCTGGGGCTCCTCTCCTGGGCTCAAGTGTATCACCTATCTGGTCAGTTGACCCCACCTCTCAATGGCGGTAAAGCCCAGCTTAGAGCAGATCCCATCCATTTTTTCTTTTTTTTTTTTTGAGACAGGGTCTCACTCAGTTGCCAGGCTGGAGTGCAGGCTGGAGCGATCTTGGCTTAATGCAACCTCTTCGGTTCAAGAGATTCTCCTGCCTCAGCCTTCTGAATAGCTGGGACTACAGGCACATGCCACCATGTCCAGCTAATTTTTGTATTTTTAGTAGAGAGAGTTTCGATATGTTGGCCAGGATGGTCTCTATCTCTTGACTTCATGATCCGCCCGTCTTGGCCTCCCAAAGTGCTGAGATTACAGGTGTGAGCCACTGCCCATTAATGAGCCCGGCCCATTGTTTTTTTTGAGACAGAATCTTGCTCTGTCGCCCCAGGCTGGAGTGCAGTGATGCAATCTTGGCTCTGTGCAACCTCCACCTCCTGGGTTCAAGCAATTCTTGTGCCTTAGTCTCCTGAGTAGCTGGGATTACAGGTGAGTGCCACCAGGCCTGGCTAATTTTTGTCTTCCTTTTTTTTTTTGAGACAAAGTTTTGCTCATCACTCAGGCTGGAGTGCAATGCATGATCTTGGCTCACTGCAACCTCCGCCTCCCAGCTTCAAGCAATTCTTCTGCCCCAGCCTCCCAAGTAGCTGGGACCACTTTGGCCTCCCAAAGTGCTGGGATTACAGGCATGAGCCACCAGGACTGGCCCATCCCCTATTTTGATCTGTGCCTGTCTACCTTTCCTGCCTGTTCAGTCTCTACAATGTCAATTCCCCAGGAACAAGGGGTCAGAAATACTCATTTTTTTGGTCACACGAAAAAAATTTTGTTATAGACATAGATTTCACTGTGTTGTCCAGGCTGGCCTTGAACTCCTGGGCTCATGTGATCCTTCTGCCACAGCTTCCTGATGTAGCTAGGACTATAGGCACACCCCAGTATGTATGTGTTTTGCCCAAGCTGGTCTTGGACTTCTGGGCTCAAGCAATCTTCCCACTTCAGCCTCCCAAAGTGATAGGATTACAGCTGTGAGCCACCACACCTGACCTGTTTTAATTTAATTTTGAGACTATGTTCCACTCAGTCGCCCAGGCTAGAGTGCAGTGGTGCAATCACAGCTCATTGCAGCCTCGACCTCCCAGGCTCAAGTGATCCTGTCACCTCAGCGTCCTGAGTAGCTGGGACTGCAAGTTTGTACCACCACATCTGACTAATTTTTAAAAAATTTGGGAGCCGGGTACAGTGGCTCACACCTGGAATCCCAGCACTTGGGAGGCCAAGGCAGGTGGATCACGAGGTCAGGACTTCAAGACCAGCCTGGTCAACATAGTGAAACCCCATCTCTACTAAAAATACAAAAATTAAGCTGGGCATGGTGGCACATGCCTATAATCCTAGCTACTCAGGAGGCTGAGACATGAGAATTGCTTGAACCTGGGAGGCAGAGGTTTCAGTGAGGCGAGATTGTGCCACGGCACTCCAGCCTGGGCAACAGAGCGAGACTCCCTCTCAAAATATATATATATATATATATTTTTTTTTTGGCAGAGACAAGGTCTTTCGGTGTTGCCCAGCCTAGTCTTGAACTGCTGGTCTCAAGCCATTCTCCCACCTCAGCCTTTCAAAGTGTTGGGATTACAGGCATGAGCCAGGTGCCCGGCTGTCTTTGTCTTTTTAAATGAGGTCCTCTCTCCCTTAACATGGAGAAGCATTAAGAATGTGGCCCCAGATCCCTCTGGCCTGGAAGCCGCTGTGAATTGCCCCTTACTTTTCACGATGTCCATGATGTGGCGCTGCTGGGTGTTCGTCAGTTTGGATTCCTTCATCATCACTACAAGACAAAGCATTCAGTTTGTATGAGGCCTCCTGGCTGCAGGCAGATGTCTTCACCTGACATCCTAGCCCCATTCTGCACTGAGCATGCCTTCTCTATCCTCAATGCCTTTCCTGCTTAGTTTTTACTTTTTCTTTCCTTTTTTTTATTTGAGACGGAGTCTCGCTGTGTCACTAGGCTGGAGTGCAATGGCGCAGTCTCGGCTCACCGCAACCTCCGCCTGCCAGGTTTAAGCGATTCTCCTGCCTCAGCCTCCCAAGTAGCTGAGACTACAGGTGTGCGCCACCATGTCCAGCTAATTTTTGTATTTTTAGTAGAGACAGAGGTTTCACCATGTTGGCCAGGATGGCCTCGATCTCTTGATCACGTGATCCACCCGCCCCAGCCTCCCAAAGTGCTGGGATTACACCATGCCCAGCCCCTGCTTCGTTTTTTCTACAGCACTTATCACCACCTAAAATTCTATATATTTTATTTTATTATTTATCTTTCTATTTAGCTCATGATAAGAATTTTTGCTGGTTTAATAAAATTTCTGCCCTCTGTTAACAAATATTTTTTCTTCTTTTTCTTTTTTCACTGTGGTATCCCCAGCACCTAAAACAGAGTCTAAGGCACATTAAAGAGTTAAACATGTTGTTGGTGGGGCACGGTGGCTCATGCCTGTAATCCCAGCTATTCGGGAGGCTGAGGCGGGCGAATCATCTGAGGTCAGGAGTTTGAGACCAGCCTGACCAACATGGAGAAACCCTGTCTCTACTAAAAATACAAAATTAGCCAGGCACGGTGGCACATGCCTGTAATCCCAGCTATTCGGGAGGCTGAGGCACGAGAATCGCTTGAACCTGGGAGGCAGAGGTTGTGGTGAGCCGAGATGGCATCACTGCACTCCAGCCTGGGTAACGAGCAAAACTGTGTTTCAAACATAAGAAAATGTTGGCCAGGTGCGGTGGCTCACACCTGTAATCCCAACACTTTGGGAGGCTGAGGTGAGAAGATCACGAGGTCAGGAGATCGAGACCATCCTGGCCAACATGGTGAAACCCCATCCATCTCTACTAAAAATACAAAAAAAAAAAAAAAAAGAAAAAAGCTGGGCATGGTGGTGTGTTCCTGCAATCCCAGCTACTTGGGAGGTTGAGGCAGGAGAATCCCTTGAACCTGGGAGGCGGAGGTTGCAGTGAGATGAGATCGCGCCACTGCACTCGAGCCTGGGTGACAGAGTGAGACTCTGTCTCAAAAAGCAAAACGTGGTTGAGTAAAAGAACACATGAACACTTGTTCATCACGTTTCAGAGGCTGGAGGTACAGTCGTGAGTTGAAACAGACACGATTCCTGCTGATGAAAGAGGGATAGATGGGACACCAAGTGACTGAGCCCAGTGAAGGAAAATGTGTGCGGGCACACAACAGTTGAGCCTACTGTGGTGGTAAGGAGGAGACAGGTCTTCCCGGGAAAGTTGAAAGTGTGATCTAAAGCATGCATAGGAATTAATTACTCTAAAAATGTTAGTTGACTTTTGGCAAGCTGTAGCACCTTGAACCTTCCCTCCCTCCCCCGCTCCTGCCCACTAAGGTATATGCAGTAGAACTTGGAAGCTTCCTGAACCCCAGGCTCCTTATCTGTAAAGGAAAATAGCAATAATTGCTAAGCCACAGGTCAGGTAGGGGAGAACTGAGTTACAGAGGGTAACTACCATCATTCTTTTCTCATCCTTTAACTCGGGTTTCCACCCGTCCCCCACCTGCCCCGTACCCCGTTCCTGGACTGACACCAGTCCCTGGCCTGTTAGGAACAGGGCCGCACAGCAGGAGGTGAGCAGCGGGCTAGCGAGCGTCACCGCCTCCTTTCAGGTCAGTGGCAGCCTTAGATTCTCATAGGAGCGCGAACCCTATTGTGAACTGCGCACGCGTGGGATCTAGGTTGCAGGCTCCTTATGAGAATCTAAGGAATGCCTGATGATCTGAGGTGGAACAGTTTCATCCCGAAACCGTTCTTGTCTTCCACGACAGCGGTCCCTGGTGCCAAAAAGGCTGGGGATCGCTGCTTTAAAGCACTGACCTTCGAGCAGCTCGCAGGTCCCCGGGGTGTAAGTGGTCTTCTTGGGGCGGCGCCGGAACCCCGTTGCTTTGGTCACTACTTCTATCTTCTGTGAAGCCATGCAAGGACCCTGAGGAGGGAAGGATGCAAAGACACACCCTCTGTCTCCTATCCCTAATTTCCTCTTCCCCACGCCCACCACCCTAGAAGTCTGGAAGCGGGGATCCAGCCAGAGAATCGTGATGCCGCCATTTAATATCGAGACAGTGCCCAAACCTCCCATCCGGACACAGACAGATACACACACAGAGTCCTCATTCTGACCCAGCGCCTGTGGCAGGGAAGTCCCCTCGGGAGGAAGGCAGTGTTAACATAGCCAGATCACAACAGTACCCACTGAGAGATATGCCAAAATTGAAATTTCACCCTAAGACCTCCTCTGGGTGCTCCCTTCTCCACATAGAGGTGAGCTCTCGGAGGCGGTGACCACTGCTTTACAGCCGCAGCCGCACCGGTGCCACGTAGAAATCCTACGCGATCTGGGCTGCTAGAGCTGGCAACTAACAACTGTGGCTACCGTGGCTACCATGGTAACGCGCCCACGAGTCAACGCATGCGCCCTTTCTCTCTCGCGCCGTCCCGCCTCCCGGAAGTGATGGCCTCTGGGTTACCGCGCAGGCGCAGGATAAGCGTGGCGCCGCGCGAGTCGTAGTGGAGCCGTTTGCGGGTCTCCGCGCGGCACTGGGGAGCAGCGGCGTCGCAGAGACTAGGGTGTCATGTCAGACAACGAGGACAAGTGAGTGCGAGAGCCAAGTGGCCTTTGCGGCAACCTCAGAAGGGGCAGATGAGGCAAGGCGTGGGTCGAAGGCGGCTGAGGAGCCTGGCGTCGAGGGGCAACGTCTGAGGGGATTGGCGGCCTGAGGGGGCAGGCGGTGCCGGGGAAGGAAAGGGCGGGGACCCAGGAGCATAGACCCGACCCGAGACCGGGCACAGGAAGGCCCTGGCTCTAGGGTCCGGATAGGATCCGTAGGAAAGGTGTCTTTCGGTGAGCCGGGCTCTGTGTCATGGGAATATTGAGGTGAATGAGGAATCGTCCCTGCCCTCCACGTGCTCGCTTTCTAGAACAGGGGGCACAGGCCCATAAGTAAGTAAACAGGTCATGGGAGTCGCGTGAGCTTCTCCAGTTCTAGAAGTATGTAGTATAGGAGTTCTCCAGAGAAGGGTCTGGGGCAGCTCCACCGGTGGCATTAAATACAAGTCTGGAAGGGTTGGTTGCAGTAATCTTATTTTTATTTTTTTTTTAGACGGAGTCTTGCTCTGTCGCCCAGGCTCTGTAGTGCAGTGGCGCGATCTCAGCTCACTGCAGCCTCTGCCGCCCAGGTTCAAGGAGGGATTCTCTTGCCTCAGCCTCCCGAGTAGCTGGGATTACAGGCATGTGCCACCACATCTGGCTGTTTTGTTTTTAGCAGAGATGGGGTTTCACCATGCTGGCCAGACTGGTCTCGAACTCCTGACCTCAAGTGATCCACCCGTCTCAGCTTCCCAAAGTGCTGGGATTACAGGTGTGAGCCACTGTGCCCGGCCTGGTTGCAGTAATCTAGGTGAAAGTCAGTAGCTTGTGGTAGGGTGGTAGGAGTAGAGGTGGTGAGAAGTGGTTTTGAATTCTGGATATATTATTATTTTAAAAGTAGAGCCAAAAAAATTACCTGTTGGATGTGTGGGCACAAAGAGATTTAGTGTGAAGATAAAAATAAGAAACGTGTGGGATTGCTACAACATTCTCAGTGTCAGTAGAGAAAAGGAGATGACCCGTGGCTGAGCGTTCGGGCATTCAAACGTTGAGTGCTTGGAGGAAAAGAGAAGCCAGGGAGGTGGGGGAACACCAAGAGAGTGAGGTGTCGTTGGAGTCAAGTGAGGAGAGCGAGTGGCCTAATGTGTCAGCTGGTAGATCAGGGTAAATGAGATTGAGAATTGGCCATTGGATTTAGCAACGTGGAGATCATTAATGAACTTGGGAAGAGAGGTTTTGATGGAGCTGTTGGTGTGAAAGGCTTTTTGGAGTGGGATTATGACAGGATGGGAAGAGAGGAATTGTAGACAGTGAGGGACAGCTCTTTCACTTATTTTTGCTTCAAAGGGCACTATGGAATTAGGGCTGTAGGGGGAGGGAGAAGAGAAGGAAGGGTTTTTTTTTTTTTTTTTTAGTTGAGGAAAAGCACATGTTGAAATACTGATGGGCCAAGTGGTGGCTCACACCTTTAATCCCAACACTTTGGGAGGCCAAGGAGGGTGGATCACCTGAGGTTAGGAGTTCAAGACCAGCTTGGTCAACATGGTGAAACCCTTTCGTTACTAAAAATACAAAAATTGGCCGGGTGCGGTGGCTCAAGCCTGTAATCCCAGCACTTTGGGAGGCCGAGGCAGGTGGATCACGAGGTCAAGAGATGGAGACCATCCTGGTCAACATGGTGAAACCCCGTCTCTACTAAAAATACAAAAAATTAGCTGGGCATGGTGGTGCGTGCCTGTAATCCCAGCTACCCAGGAGGCTGAGGCAGGAGAATTGCCTGAACCCAGGAGGTGGAGGTTGCAGTGAGCCGAGATCGCACCATTACACTCCAGCCTGGGTAACAAGAGCGAAACTCCGTCTCAAAAAAAAAAATTACCTGGGCATGGTGGTGTATGCCTGTAATCCCAGCTACTCGGGGGGCTGAGACAGGAGGATTGCTTGAACCCAGGAGGCGGAGGTTGCGGTGAGCCGAGATTGCGCCACTTCACTCCAGCTTGGGTGACAGAGTAAGACTCTGTCTTAAAAAAAAAATTAAAAAAAGGCTGATGAGAATGATCCAGTAGAGAGGCAAACAGCGATGATGAATGAGTCCTAACAAAATCTGGGGGCAGATGGGGAAAGACTGAAGGAGTAAAATGGAACAAAAGTCTGATTTACTTATTATTATTATTATTTTGAGAAGGAGTGTCACTCTGTTGCCCAAGTTGGAGTGCAATGGTGTGACCTCAGCTCATTGCAAGCTCTGCCTCCCAGGTTCAAGTGATTCTCGTGCCTCAGCCTCCTGAGTAGCTGGCATTACAGGCACCAACCACACCTGGCTCATTTTTGTTTTGTTTTGTTTTTTGAGACGGAGTTTCGCTCTTGTTACCCAGGCTGGAGTGCAATGGCGCGATCTCGGCTCACCGCAACCTCCGCCTTCTGGGTTCAGGCAATTCTCCTGCCTCAGCCTCCTGAGTAGCTGGGATTACAGGCACCCGCCACCATACCCAGCTAATTTGTTGTATTTTTTTAGTAGAGACGGGGTTTCACCATGTTGACCAGGATGGTCTCGATCTCTTGACTTCGTGATCCACCCACCTTGGCCTCCCAAAGTGCTGGGATTACAGGCTCGAGCCACCGCGCCCAGCCCATTTTTGGTATTTTTAGCAGAGATGGGATTTCTCCATGTTGGCTAGGCTGGTCTCGAACTCTTGACCTCAAGTGATCCACCTGCCTCAGCCTCCCAAAGTGCTGAGGTTATAGGTGTGAGCCACCATGCCCGGCTGATCCTTATTAAGTAGCTATTTATTGAGTGCTTCCTATATAGTGGGCGAGACATATATCTTTGCACTTACTGATTTTTTTTTTTTTTTTTGAGACAGGTTCTTGTTCTTTTACCCAGGCTGGAGTGCAGTGGTACGATCTTGGGTCACTGCAACCTCCGCCTTCTGGGTTCAAACAATTCTCGTGCCTCAGCCTCCTGAGTAGCTGGTATTACAGGCATGGGCCACCATGCCCAGCTAATTTTTCTATTCTTAGTAGAGATGGGGTTTCACCATGTTGGCTAGGCTGGTCTCAAACTCCTGGCCTCAAGTGATCCACCCACTTCCATCCCCCAAAGTACCAAGATTGCAGGTGTGAGCCACCATGGTCGGCCCCTCTTTGTTTCTGGTAAGTGATGCTCTAACTAACTGATTTATTCTTCCTGTACAGTTTTGATGGTGACGACTTTGATGACGTGGAAGAGGATGAAGGGCTAGATGACTTGGAGAATGCCGAAGAGGTCAGTATTCAGCCTCAGGCTCCCACCTCTGCAGCCCAAGCTGCCAAACAGTCTGGCAGGTGACAGTAACCTGAATGTATCTGCCTTCTGTTTGTGTTCAGGGCCCCCCTACCCGCCGGCATAAGCATTCCCAGTTAGAGTGAGCTGTGTTCCAGTCTTGCACAGCAGAACAGCCCTGTGGGCTAGGCCTGAAAGCTTTTGTCCATGTGGTCCGCAGCCAATGGCTTCTGGGGCAGTTAGTTCACTGACAAGTTAAACAGCACCTTCCTGCCTCATAAGGTTATTGTAAGGGACATGAGGTATTAGGAAGCAGTCACCTGGTCCCCTGGCATGCAGTGAGCATTAATGGTGGCAGGAGCGGTGATTATGATTGTTGTCATTATCACCCTCCCTGTAACCCAAAAATGCCACCTGAGATTTTCTCTCTTTTTTATCTTGTCCAGGAAGGCCAAGAGAATGTTGAGATCCTTCCCTCTGGGGAGCGACCACAGGCCAACCAGAAGCGAATCACTACACCATACATGACCAAGTACGAGCGAGCCCGCGTGCTGGGCACCCGAGCTCTCCAGATTGCGTGAGTGATGGCCCCTTCACTGTCCTCTGCATCTCTCAGACCATAGTGAGCTCCTGAGCCACTGATCTTGCCCAGCCCAGCACCTGAACGTAGACTCTCCACTCTCACATTCCAAAGGTGGTGCTGTCCCTGTGTACCAGGCATTGTGCTAGGCCCCTGCCCTCAGGGAGCTTGTGATCTAATAGGAGAACTAGGACTTGAACATCTGAGAAGTCAGGTAACAGTATGGGAGAAAAATGATACAAAAATCAGAACTGGATGGTTGCCCGGCAGATTAGTGAAGCAGAAAAAGCGTGAAGTCAGAGTCAATGTGTACCCGTGTTTTTTTTTTTTTGTTTTTTGAGATAGAATGTTGCTGAGTCGCCCAGGCTGGAGTGCAGCGGCACAATCTCAGCTTACTGCAACCTCTGCCTCCCAGGTTCAAGTGATTCTCATGCCTCAGCCTCCCAGGTAGCTGAGATTGCAGGCATATGCCACCAAGCCTAATTGTTGCATTTTTAGTAGAGATGGGGTCTCGGCATGTTGCCTTGGCTCGTCTTGAACTCCCAGCTTCAAGTGATCTGCCTGCCTCTGCCTCCCAAAGCTCCGGGATTACGGGTGAGAGCCACGGGGCCTGGCCATGGTGGTTCTTTTTGCTTTATTTTCCTAGTCGAGGCCTCACTCTGTTGCTCATACTGGAGCACAGTGGCCTGATCATAGCCCATTGCAGCCTCAAACTCCTGGGCTCAAGCGACTTTCTTGACTCAGCCTCCCAAGTGGCTTCAAGCTGGGACTGCAGATGTGTGTCACTATGCCTGGCTTTGTATTTTTTTGTAGAGATGGGGGTCTTACTGTGTTGCCCAGGCTGGTCTTGAACTCAGCCTCAAGTGATTCTCCTGCCTCAGCCTCCCAAAGTGCTGGAACTGAGATTACAAGCATGAGCAACCACTCCTGGCTTTAAGGTGGTTTTTTTTTTGAGATGGAGTTTCGCTGTTGTTACCCAGACTGGAGTGCAATGGCACGATCTCGGCTTACCACAACCTCCGCCTTCTGGGTTCAAGCAATTCTCCTGCCTCAGCCTCCCGAGTAGCTGGGATTACAGGCGCGTACCACCATGCCCAGCTAATTTTTGTATTTTTAGTAGAGATGGGATTTCACCTTGTTGACCAGGATGGTCTCGTCTCTTGACCTCATGATCCACCCGCCTTGGCCTCCCGAAGTGCTGGGATTATAGGCATGAGCCACCGCCCCCAGCTAAGGTGGTTCTTGATGTGAGGTAGACTGTGGCCAGCCCAGCAGACTGGGGGCCCTCCAGCTTGAGAGCACACTGGAGAGATGAAAGCACAGAGTAGTGGTGGGGTTTTGGGGATTTGAAAATCAGTAAACTTTCTCTCTCATGGCTGGGAGAATAAAGATTCAGGAGATAGAGTAGACAGGTGGAGATCCAAGTGTCCAGTGAGTGCAGATGAGTTAGCCACAGGCAGTGCAGGCCTTCAGATGACTACTGAGGTTTGGGGCAGAGTAGAGAATACACTGGAAGCACCCTCTCCCAGCAGATGGCTTTGAGAATGCAGGGACTTTCAAAGAGGTGGGGCCACAGATGCCTGCTTTTCCCCCCAACCCAGGCTCACCTGTCGGAATAGTTACTCCTGCTTTCTTGTGAAGAGTAGGTGAGAGGACAGAGAGGGGTACTCTAATGGTACTCTGTGGGGAAGCATGAGACTGAGGACAGGAGCCCCTCCCCCAGACTCCTTATAGGCTGTTGTGGGAAATGGTGGGTATCTGGAGGAGGAGGCGTAGTTCAAGTAGGGAAGAGTGGAAATTAGTCTAGAAAGAAAAGCAGCTGGGTGTGGTGGCTCACACCTGTAATCCCAGCACTTGGGGAGACCGAGGCAGGAGGATTGCTTGAGTCCAGAAATTCAAGACCAGCCTGAGCAACATGGTGAAACCCCATCTCTGCCAAAATACAAAAATTAGCTGAGTGTGGTGGTGTGCTCCTGTAGTCCTGGCTACTTGGGAGGCTGAGGTGGGAGGATCACCTAAGCCCAGGAGGTTGAGGCTGCAGTGAGCTGTGATTGCACCACTGCCCTCCAGCCTGAGCGACAGAGTGAGACTCCATTTCAAAAAAAAAAAAAGGAAAGCTGGGGCCAGATATGTGGACTCTGTGCTTGCAGGGCAGCAGTGCTCTCTGTACCTCCCTCCTCAGTGTGCAAGCAGCACTGGGCTGTTGTCTCCTCTAGTCCTGTGGGGGTAAAGATGACGATCATGTCTACCTCAATAAAGGTGGGCAACATTGTTCTCATTCATTCCCCTTCTCTGCTCTTCTGAGTGGCATTAGAGCCACACCCAGTAGGATATCTTTTGGTGCCACCAAGGTCAAGATCCTCTGGGCCTGCACCATCAATTATATTAGCCACAAATTGTATGTGGCCATTTGCATTAAGTACAATTAAATAAAATAAGACATTCAATTTCTGTCTCACTAGCCACCCACACTTCTTTTTCTTTTATTATTTATTCATTTTATTTATTTATTTATTTTTGAGATGGAGTCTTACCCTGTTGCCCAGGCTGGAGTGCAGTGGCGTGATCTTGGCTCACTGTATCCTCCACCTCTCGGATTTAAATGATTCTCCCAACTGAGCCTCCTGAGTAGCTGGGATTACAGGTGCCTGCCACCACACCTGGCTAATTTTGTATTTTTAGTAGAGATGGGGTTTCACCATGTTGATTGGACTTTGGGAGGCTGAGGCGAGTGGATCACCTGAGGTCAGGAGTTTGAGACTGTCTTGGCCCATGGCAAAACCCCGTCTCTACTAAAAGTACAAAAATTAGCCAGGCATAGTGGCAGGTGCCTATAATCCCAGCTACTCAACTCAAGAGGCTGAGGCAGGAGAATTGCTTGAACCTGGGAGGCGGAAGTTGTAGTGAGCTGAGGTCTCGCCACTACTCTAGCCTGGGTAAGAGAGCAGACTCCATTTAAAAAGAAAAAGAAAAGACGTAATCCCCAGTCCCCCAGGTGTTTTCTGGCAGGGGAGATAGACCTGTGCACAGATACAACCCAAGGCAGACAACGAGTGGTGTTTTATGAAAGGTACAAAAAGGAGGGTTACTGCAGGGGTGACGGGAAAGCTTGTGGAGGGGTTCGAATTCTAGTGGGGACAGGTAAAGAGAGTTGGCATTGTGGCTCTTCCAGGTGCCAGAAACAGCCCAAGGAAAGGTCCAGGTGGAGGCAGGCAGGCAGGCTTGGATTTGTGGTGAGGGATCACAAGCAGCTTGGGGCATAACGCTGGAAAAGATGACACTAGTCCCGTGAGTATCAAGTTTAGAAGACTGGAGTTCATTTGGTGGGCAGTGTGAAGCACCTAAGGTTTTGAGGCTGACATCCAGGCCACTCATAAGTCTAAGTGTCCTGTTTTCTTTCTTTTTCTTTTTCTTTTTTTTTTTGAGACAGAGTTTCACTGTTGTTGCCCAGGCTGGAGTGCAATGACGTGATCTTGGCTCACTGCAACCTCCGCCTCCTGGATTCAAGCGATTCTCCAGCCTCGGCCTCCCGAGTAGCTGGGATTACAGGTGCCTGCCACTACACCTGGGTAATTTTTTTGTATTTTTAATAGAGATGGGGTTTCACCATGTTGGTCAGACTGGTCTTGAACTCCTGACCTCAGGTAATCCACCTGCCTCAGCCTCCCAAAGTGCTCGGGTTACAGGTGTGAGCCACCGCACCCAGCCAAGTGTCCTGCTTTTCTTGTGGAGCAGAGCTTGGTTCTGCTCGTTCCAGTCATTAGTGCTCCTTCCAGTGATAGGACACCATGTGGTGGCTCCTTGCCTGCTGTTAGCTCTTGTACAGCCATAATGGGACTCTGCACTTGGTAGGTGCAGATGGAGTCTCACTCTGCCACCCAGGCTGGAGTGCAGCAGTGCCATCTCGGTTCACTGCAACCTCTACCTTGTGGTTCAAGAGATTCTTATGCCTCAGTCTTCCTAGTAGCTGGGACTACCGGTGCATGCCACCATACCTGGCTAATTTTTTGTAGAGACGGGGTTTCACCACATTGGCCAGCTGGTCTCAAACTCCTGTCTTGAAGTGATCCTCCTGCGTCGGTCTCCCAAAGTGCTGTGATTACAGGTGAGCCCCTGGACCTGACCAGAACTGTTTCTTGGGTCGGTTTTGGATGTTGTTTCAGTCTGGTTCATTAGCACCGCCTGGTGGCTGATGATATTTGTTACATCTACTTCTTAACTGGACGGTTGGTGGGTTTATTTGCAAAGGCAAGACAAATTACTTAAGGACACATTCTTCAACATTCCATGTGCATAATAGGTGCTGTATTAGTGAATGCTCTTGAATATGTTATTTTATTTTAGTTTTTTGAGACGGAGTCTTGCTCTGTTGCCAGGCTGGAGTGCAGTGGCATGATCTTGGCTCCCTGCAACTTCCGCTTCCCGTGTTCAGGCGATTCCCCTGCCTCAGCCTCCCGAGTAGCCGGGAGTACAGGCGTGCACTACCATGCCCAACTAATTTTTTGTATTTTAGTAGAGACCATGTTGGCCAGGATGGTCTCGATCTCCTGACCTCATGATCTGCCTGCCTTGGTCTCCCAAAGTCCTGGGATTATCAGCGTGAGTCAGCACGCCTGGCTAAATTATTTATATTTTGACAGAAAGCAGGCATATGCAGATCAGGAAAAGTATTTTGCCACATTCCTTAAAGCGTTATGTTTGGGGAGTTGAAATACTTATTGAGAGGATATAGGGAAAGTTAGATACTTCATATCTGACCTTGGGAAATGTTCAGTCTCTTGGGAGTAGCATAAATTGAAATATTTACTAATAAAATCAGTAAGCTGGTAGCTCTCAGACCAGTTGGTTTTCAGAATCATCTGGGCAGTTTTGCAAATGCAGCCTCTCAGGCCGTTTCACTGGAGATTCTATTCAGGGGGTCTGGAGAAGGACCCAGGAACTGGTATTTTTTTTTTAGCATGCTCTCCTATTAATTCTGGATGTGTTAGTGTGAACCTGAGCTGGAATCATCAGGGGTGGCTTCCTAGAGGAGATGGGCCTAGAATTGGCATCCCTTGCTTGGTTATAGAGTCTCCACTGTGGGCCAAGCGTTGTGCTGGGGGCTGGGCCTCTGTGTTGAATCGCACGTAGTTCTGGGCCACCAGGAGCTCATGGTCTGATGTGGAAAACTTCCACACAAGTGGTTACAGTTCAGTGAGATTGGTGCCAAGAAAAGTATGTGCAGAATGAGTTGGGGTACCGAAGATTCAGCACAGGATTTCCAGGGTGGAGACGTCTGGACCTCTCTCAGGCTTTTAGGGAGAGGAAGAGCTTGTAAGAGCACACAAAAGGGAAACAACATGGCATGTCTAGGGAACCATAAATAGTTTGGAATGGCTGGAATGTGGGTAAATATGGGAAAGTAGCAAGGGGCTGTACTAGGAAGGCGAACAGGGGACAGACTGCACTCCGGCCTGCTAGCCAAGAGGAGTCATGGCAGTGTTGTAAGCAGACAGGCCCCTGACTGCTGGCTGCGGCGAAGGGTGGGGAGGGCTGGGCAGGAAGGGCAGGGCCTTTACTGAGGTGCTGCGGCTATAGAGAATGGAAATGAGGCCCAGTGTGGTGGCTCCTGCCTTTCATCCCACTGTGGGAGGCTGAGGCAGCCAGATTGCTTGAGCCCAGGAGTTTGAGACCAGCCTGGGCTATATGGTGAAACCCCATCTATACAAAAAATTAGCTGGGCGTGGTGGTGTGTGCCTGTAGTCCCAGCTGATTGGGAGGTTGTAGGAGAGTTGCTTCAGTCCGGGAGGTGGAGGTTGCAGGGAGCCAAGATCTCTCCACTGCACTCCACCTTGGGTGATGGGAGTGCAACCTTGTCTCCAAAAAATAGAGAGAGAGTAGGAATTGAAATGAGGTGCCGTGGGCACTGAGGCAAGGCTCTGGGGTTGGAGCAGGTAGAACGGCGTGCCTTTGCACATGCCACCCCTCCCACCAGGATACTCTGCTGTTGCCGCTGGGCTCAGGAATCTGCCATAGGCCTCTGCCAGGGAGGATCTCTGCACAGTGCCCCTGCACACCACTCCCTACTATGCCTGCCTACCCAGAAGGTGACCTTTCTAGGTGAGGACTCAGATGCCGTTCCACCCTCACCGCCTGCTGGGCCCTTCTCCCCGGGTTTGTTGTCTCCCCAACACCTGTCCCTATCCCTCCAGGATGTGCGCCCCTGTGATGGTGGAGCTGGAGGGGGAGACCGATCCTCTGCTCATCGCCATGAAGGAACTCAAGTAAGTCAGTCAAGTCGTGGTTCACTTCCCCAGAGCTCTGGGCGGCATCTGCTGGGCTGTCTGCTGCACCCTTTGCTCCCACTTCCCTGACTGGGAAGTTGATGCTTATTCCCACAGATCCTTAGGAACAGCTCACCAGGAGGTAGGAGGAAGAGAGAAGAGGAGGCAGGGAAAAGTGGAGGGCACTGATGAGAGGGGGCCTCTTCTGGCTGTTGGAATTTCCCTGTTCCTGCTGCAGGAGGCCTTACCAATATTCTGTCATTCTTCCCCCTCTTGTCTGATATAAAGACTTTCTTTTTCTTGTAGTTGCTTTCTGACAGAGTACCCTCATCAGTCCCGAGAGGCTGCTCCTAAGACTTCTCTTGCCTTGTGTTTCACACACAATCTGTTCCTTCTGCGGCAGAGCTGGGGTCACCAGCCCTCATGTACCTGTGACTTCTCCCCTGCCACAGGGCCCGAAAGATCCCCATCATCATTCGCCGTTACCTGCCAGATGGGAGCTATGAAGACTGGGGGGTGGACGAGCTCATCATCACCGACTGAGCTGGAGTCATCTTCCTGCCCTTGCCCTGTGCCCAATTTTCATTCTCATTTTATATGTGTAAATAATAAAATACTCAACCTTCCAATCCCCTTCCCTCTGCTTATCTGCGATGTCACCACCTGTTGCTTTCCTGTGACTGCCCTGCTGCCTGGAGCATGCATCTATTCCAGTGGCCCTGTGACTGTCAGCTCCTTAAGAAGCACCAGGGGCCCTTAGCCCCTGTGGATCCCCCACATCCTTCCCTCCATCTCTCTGTTCCCCAGAGCAAAGGCTGCTGCAGGGGAGATACCTCAGCTGCCTTCCTAGCAGACAGACAAGTCTTTGTGCCCAGGGAGCTGGTTGCCACGGAAACCCCCAATTTCCTTTCCAGTGGGGACTGGCTGCAGGGGCTTCTCCCTTCTCAGGAGTATCACAGAGCAGGTCTCATCAAGCCACCCATTGTTTCCTAAGGACCTGCTTCGAGCCTCTTATCGTGGGCTCGGATCCCCTTTCAGGAGCAGTGCCCCAGCAGGAAGCGTGGGGGTGTGCTGATCTCCCACCCTCCCCAGGCAGAGCCCTGCTGGGCAAGTCAGCAGCTGGAGCAAGGACAGAGCACCTGCCTGCCCCTGCCCCCACGACGCTGTCCCCACTTCTCCTCAGGACTCTGCCCACACACTGTCCTCTGTGGCCCACCTCTTTGTGTGCCACACCCATGCCCTCTTCCTACCCCCTGTAAGATGTCCTTTCCTTCCTGTGTGGGGCTGGTGATCCTCTGAGGCCTTGGGGGGGAAGGTGCTGGGATGGAAGTGCTCCTGGGTTCCAGGTGTTACATTAGGTCAGAGCTGGAGCTCCTCCTTCCTCTGCCTGAGATTCTAATGGGTCCTCTTCCTTTCTCCATCCTGCTTACCCAACCTGAGGTAAGATCAGTCACACAGGCTCCTCCCTCCTAGGGGTCGGGGGCGGGGGTATACTGACATGAACAGGGATAGAGGGAAAACTGGCTTCCTAAATATGCCAGCCTTGACATCCCTTCCACTGCCAGCTCCCCTTCCAAGAGGAGGAGCTGGGCTTCCCTAACCTCTACAGCAAGCAGGGCTCCAGGGCTCGGCGCAGCCTGGGCCTGGGGTGGGGTGTGAGGAGTGAGGGATGAGCTTCTGCACCGGTGGGAGGGTGTTTGCTGCCCTGGAGAAGGGTTAATTCAGGGAGCAGTGCACTTCACACCCCATCCACCCTCCTCCAAGCCTGTGGAATCCTTTAATCAAGTTGGGTGCTGAAATTTCAGCTCTGAAATGCCGCCTTTGTGCTGGCATCCAGGCAGCCGCCCCAGAGTGCGGGGGTCACTTTCTCGGCCCCATTTCTCTAAATGGTCTCTTTGTTCCCTGCTGGGCTACTCAGTATCAGATGTGATTAAAGGGAGATGGGGTGGGCTGGGGAGGAGGGGAATGGGGGCTTAACCCTTAGGGGATAGGGTGCAAGGGAAGTGGGACCGAAGGGGTGTTTTTCCTCCCGTCTCCCTCTTCTCATTCTCCTCTTTTGGGGGAGTCCCCTGCTATTCAGCTGGCTGAGCCTGGGTTTTGACTTCTCTTGAATAAAATATCACGAGCCACCACTATTGGTTTTGTTTTCTTAGGGTTTGGGCATAATCTCTTCAGTCATTTCCAGAAACACCTGACCGTTTTTTACAAGTGGAGCTCCTGCCTTCCTGAGCCCTGTACACACTTGGAATCTTTGGTTTAAGGGATGCACACCCAGGTCTTCTGACTTCTCTGAGGTCATTTCCCCTCCTCCCACATTCTCAGTGACTTCCCACTGAGTCTCATCAGATTCGGGGTCTTGGGGATGATAGTGTCCTCTTCTGGATGTGCCCCCTGCTCCCCATGCTGCCAGCTCCATATTCCTCATCCCACTGCAAGCAGGAGTAGTGAGCAGACTGGAAGTGGGAAAATGTCCTGCCTTTCAATGAAGGGGAAAGGGTGGGTTGTAAACATTATCAGCACATATAAGGTTAGTACTGATTGATCCATGACAGAATTCTAGAATAGGTCACTCCATGTTTGAAAGCATTTTATTGAGGACATGGGGTGCTAGCATCGGGAATCTAAGAACCAACATTGACAACTAAAGTTTTTTCAGTGGTTGCTGGTCCAGTAGGTGGAGGGAAGGCCGGAGATCCAAGAATCTTGATTTTACAAGGCGTCGGCAGTCTCCATGCAACCGAGACAGAGAAGCATGTGCTTCGTGATGGTGTAAATAGTTTTAGAACTGACTAGACAGGCTCCTTAAGAGTGGAGATAATAGGGCCAGGCGCGGTGGCTCACACCTGTAATCCCAAGCACTTTGGGAAGCCGAGGTGGGTGAATCACAAGGTCAGGAAATCGAGATCATCCTGGCCAACATGGTGAAACCCCATCTCTACTAAAAAAAAAATACAAAAGGCCCGGTGTGGTGGCATGTGCCTGTAGTCTCAGTACTTGGGAGGCTGAGGCAGGGGAATTGCTTGAACCCGAGAGGCAGAGACTGTAGTGAGCCAAGATTGCATCAGTGCAGTCCAGCCTGGTGACAGAGCAAGACTCTGTTTTTTTTTTTAAAAAAGTGGCGATAATGGAATTGAAGTGGAGAGAGGTGTTTAGTGCTGTACGCAGGTGTCCCTCTTCATTTCAGCCTTTATTAGTGACTTGAATGAGGCGATACATAAAGCTCCAAAGGAGAGCTGAGTCCTAAAAGGTTTCATACAGGTGGGGAAATGGGTCAGACCCAACAAGGCGAGGTCGGTTAAAGATCAGTGTAAAGTTCTGCTGTCATCTACAACAGAACACCAAAACAGCATACGTACAATTTGGGTGTGACTTTGCAACGGATATTGTCTAAAAGATTGGGGGTTCGGTTACCATCCAGCTTCATGGGAACCAACGGTTTCGGGGAGGTTGCCTGAACAGCTTCTGCGAAGCAGATCCCAGATGGAGGGAGTTTGGCCTCCCTGGGGACTGGTCTAGTTTTGGTGCCCTGCCTCTCTCCCTGGTCCTGACTAGGGGCTGGAGACCATGGATAGAAGGCAGGAAGGAAGCTGAGGGCGCCCAGGCTGGAGCAGTGAAAGACGCATTGCTCCAGATACAAAGCAGAAGTAGGATCTGCAAACCAGGTGGAGGGGATGTTGGTTAAGAGTGCAAGCCCTGGAGTCAGAGCTGGGTTCAGATTCTGGCATCAACCTCGAAAGCTTGTTTCCCCATCTGGAAAACAGATAACGATTGGACCTACTCCTTCACTGGCCTGAATGACATAAAACCCTTGGGAGCACTGAGTAAATGGCAGCTGGGTATAAGCCATGCTGAGCTCGGTATGAGGAAGAACTTCAACCGTCGGAGCTGTTCATCAAGTAGAGCAAGATGGCAAAAGATTCCCTCTGTCCTCGGAGTTGTGCGCTTGTGAGGTAGAGTGGTCCTGGCCTCTCGTGCAGTCTGGACTTGTGCTGAGGAAAGAGCTCTTGGGGAGTAGGAGCTTAAGGAGCAGACTACGTGTCTGACGTCCTTGGTCTGGACTCAGGCACGGGCAGCTGCTGTGAAGGTTTGGCTAGACCCTGGCGTGGGCTGCTGTGTGTGCTGGGGGAGGCAGCAGGTGAGGGGATGCAGCAAAACAGGGCCTAGCCACACATCCCGAAGGACAGGCCTCTGACTGCAGACAGCACGGTGCCACACCCAACCCACCTCCTCTTCAGTACCAGTCTTTTGAATTCTTTGCAAACTCCCCTCTGCTGGGTGCTGGGTGAGCAGAGGGGCTGCTTAGAAGGCAGTGAGTTCCAGCTGAGCCAGTTAGGAGTGAGTGGCCCCCTGCAGCGTGGGGCACAGCTGGGCTGGGGAGACGCTCCCATTTGAGACTTCAGTCCCTGAGCTCAGATGGACCCCACTGGGATGCCAGCTGTCCTAAATCCATACCTTCTTAGCAGGGAGAGAGAGAGAGAAAGGAGAGGGGTATGAAAGAGAGAGAGAGAGAGAGGAGGCAGAGGGAAAAGAGGGAGGAGTATGGGGGGAGAGAGAGAGGGAAAGGAGACGGGTATGTAAGAGAGAGAGAGAGAGAGAGAGAGGAGGCGGAGGGAAAAGAGGGAGGAGTATGGGGGGAGAGAGATCTTTGATGATCTGTCCTTTGCATTCTACTCTAGCTACTTCCAGAAAGCGTTTGAGGAAGCACAAGTGCAGGGCTGAGATCAAGAGACAGGCCAGGTCAGGCTCACCAAGCAGGTAACCGGAACCTTTAATTTTATTATGTGGAATGCTTAATGCAGAGTTAATAGGGTCTAGAGTGGCTAGGAGAGGGGACTACTGAGATAAATAACAGGAGACAGTAATGAGTTACATGTGAACGGGAGTGGGGGCTGCAGAACAGGAACATGGGGGCAGATAGAGCTACATACTTTATTCAAATACCACTGGGAGGCAAGGGGCAAGAGGCAAGGGCAGAAGGTACATGTCAGGATTCTAGTGTCTTCAGCCTGCTGCCAGCAACCTGGATGCTGGGCCCTGTGTCTCCTGCAGCCAAGGGTTTGGGCCTGAGCAGCTCTAACTCTCTGGGAAGCCAGGGAGTGGAGCTGACAGAGCAGGGGCTGTAGAGCCTAGTAGGGAAGAGGGAGCTGGCAAGGAGCCTGGGGGAGTGGGGGGTAGGCCCTGTGAATTGTCTCCGATTCCTTTCCTGGAGCCCCTGTCTCCTCGCCTCCTGGGATGCGCCTCAAGGTCACGGAGGTTGTAGTGGAGGAGGACTGGGGGCTCCTTCTCGATTAGACAAAGAATGAGATTATTGGCACAGACTTGGATCTGGGGGCCTCTGTGCCAACTCCTTCCTGCCTTCGGGAGGGGAGGGGCCATTGAAGGGATGAGAGCTCCACTAAGTCCTGCGAACCTCCCACTCCTCATGAGGCTCCTCAAAGCTACTCTCAGCCCCTGAGTGGGAGACATGGCCAGCTCCAGGCACAGTCTCTGGGTGGCCTAGCCCTTAGGCACTGTGGCACTGGTGGCATGGGCATGTCAGACCCTCACTCTCCATGAGAGAGGAAACAGGAGTGCATAGGAGTGGTAAGGCCTCCGATGCCACCAACCCTGGTGCTTCCCCTCCCTGAGGCGGGTGAGCAGGTCCTTCTCAGGTCCTGGGGTAGAGGGTCATTCCTGGGGGGAAGGTGCAGCCCCTCATCTTTCAGTGTGGGAGCAACAGTCAACCTCCTTCTCCTCTGCCCAGCCTGCTCGCCTGGGGCTTTGCTGCTGGAGCCAGGATGGGGTGGGTGGGTCATCAGGGCAGTGAGCCAGACAGAAAGCCACCCCCAGCTGTCAGCCTCTGCAGCCTCCTCCACTGCCACTGCCAGGCCTGAGGTGGGCGAGGAACAGGGCATACAGGCTGGGGGCAGGGGCTGGGCAGGGGGTGGTGATAACAGGACCCCCTTTAGGGCCGGGACAGCGTCGTATATACTGGCTGCTCCCAGTGTGTGGGGCTGTGGGACTGGGGCCCTGAAGGGCTGGGATCAGAGATGGCCGTGTACAGGGGCCGCTGCGAGGGCCCCATATAGGAGAAGGCCGAGTAGAGGCCAGAGGCTTGGCTGGAGTGGCCATAATAGGGTCCTGAGGGCTGATGGTCAGAGTAGTCAAACTGGGGGCGGGAGATGGAGGGGAAGGCTGAGCCGTAATGGGGCAGGCTGAGGGAGGTGTAGGCGATCTGTGAGGTGGATGGCTGGTCGGTGTAGTGCGGGGGCCCCTGGGGCCCCGCGGTCTCTGTCTTCACCTGGGCTTTGGCATCCACACCAGGTGGCGAGACCGTGGGCAGAGCCACACCTGGTGGCTTGGAGATCCAGGCGGAGTGTCCACTGGCCACGGCCAGGGCGCTGCCCAGCCCGTAGCCGGCTGCTGAGTAGCTGCCCACATGGCCTGGGTGCCCATTGGGCGGCAGGTACTGGTCCAACTCAGCCACATCAAAGGTCTCCATGTTGGACATGACCTCGTGGCTGATCTCACCGATGTCCACGTTGCCGAAGTCGATGTGTGGCTTCCCGCCCTCCCCCATGGAGCGCCCGTCCCGCTTGGGGTCTGCCTTGCCCGACTGCAGCTCTGTCTTTGGGGTGGTTGGAGGGGTAGGTGGGCCATGGCTCTGGCCTGGGTGGAAGGGAGACAGAGAGAAAGAGAGCAAGGGGGAAGCAGGTTAGAGCCAGGTGGGCGCACGGGAACTTCCATGGTTCACCTTCAGGCAGCAGGTGCCTCTGGGAAGTTGAGGTCTGATCGCTGCTCTGACCTTTTAAGTGTCACGTTTTAGCAGCATGAGTCAGCATTTGTTTAAATACTGGCCTTAGTAAATACTGGTCTCTCGTTGTTGATGAAATTCTCAAATCTTAGGGATGGGTCCTGCTTCCTCCCCTGTCACCCACCAGGGGAGGCCTGCCTCATTCTGAAAAACCTTTCTTGTGGAAAGTTCTTCCTCTCATCGGCTTCTCTGCTGCCCAGGTGGTCTGGCCCGGCCTTTGCACTCTGCCAGCCTCCCTTCTGCGCCCCTGCGACCGCCCCCTATGCTAAGCCTCACTCGCCCAGACTCCTGAGTGCTCTGTTTCACCTTTGCTGGTTGCCTGGACCTGCTCCCTGCCCCGGCCTCGTGTTGTGTCCTTTCCAATCCTTCCCTCCTCCTGAGCCCGCCCTGCTGCCCAGCCCACTGGCAGGCCCTCGGCCCCATCACACCCTGGCCTGTGTTGCCCTGTCATTCCTTGAGCTGCCTACCTCTGTGGGAGGGCACTTAGAAAACTGGTTCTTGTTCCTTTATCTGTTCACTTTCCTATGCACACACTAATTTGGCAAACTTTTAGGGAGCATTACAAAACACCAGGTACTGTGCCAGGTGCTGGGGATACAAATATAAATAAAATGGATCCCTGTCCCCAAAGCTCATAGTCTAGTCACAGATCCATAGATCCACAGGTGCCCGGAGTTGGAAGTGATGTGATGACCTGGGAGACCAGAGGAGGAGTCTACCCGCTGCCCCAGGGATTTAGGGAAGGTCTCATCAGGAAAGGATGTCTGAGTGGGGTGGGGCCTTGAAGGGTGAGAAAAAGTCTGTCCATAGTTTCATTCTGAGGTGGTGGTTCTGTACATAGTCCAGGGTCTCCTGATGTGTGTGTGTGCCCCTGGATATCTGCAGGTGAAGAGTATGTACATATGTGTGGGAGAGAACGTGTCCATGGCCTTAAGAGACTCTGAGCTCCCCAAGGACAGGCCTATGCCTCCTCCATCAGACCAGAGGCAGCGCTGAGTCCTGCATTGGCCAAGGGCTCTCTACTTCAAGAGACCTGCCTAGGTTTCTGACTTCTGGTTCGTGTCTGGACAAATCCCCTCTTGTCTCAACCAGTTTCCTTATCAGTAAAATAGAGATTGTACCAAGCAGCCAAGACATTGCCTCTTTCTGGAAGCCTCTTCCTTTACAAGAGTCAGGTGGGTAGCGGGCTGTTCTTGGAGACCTGACTGGATGGGATGACGGGTAGATTACTCCCCCAGAGGCCATGCCACCTCTGGATCTCACACAAGCTTCTTGTACACTTGTTTCTCTCTATACTTTTTTTTTTTTAAAGATAGGCTGGGCACAGCAGCTCATGCCTGTGATCCCAGCACTTTGGAAGGCTGAGGTGGGTGGATCACTTGAGGTCAGGAATTCGAGACCAGCCTGGGTGAAACCCCATCTCTACTAAAAGTACAATAATTAGCCGGTGTGGTGGCGTGCACCTGTAATCCCAGCTACTCAGGAGGCTGAGTCATGAGAATTGCTTAAACCCAGGAGGCAGAGAGAGGTTGCAGTGAACCGAGATGGCACCACTGCACTGCAGCCTGTCTCAAAAAAAAGTCGGGCGTGGTGGCTTACACCTATAATCTCAGCACTTTGGGAGGCTGAGGCAGGCAGATCATGAGGTCAGGAGTTTGAGACCAATCTGGACAACATAGTGAAACCCTGTCTCTACTAAAAATATAAAGAATTAGCCGGGTGTGGTGGTGTGCACCTGTAATCCCACCTACTAGGGAGGCTGAGGCAGAATTGTGTGAACCCAGAAGGCGGAGGTAGAAGTGAGCCAAGATCACACCATTGCACTCCAGCCCAGGCAACAGTGTGAGACTCCGTCTCAAAAAAAAAAAAAAAGGACACAGTTTTACTATATTGCCCATGCTGGTCTCAAACTCACGGGCTCGGGTGACCCTCCCACCTCAGCCTCCTGTGCAGCTGGGACTGCAGGCACATTCCGCTATGCCCAGCTTTGTTTCTTCCTGTACCTAACTCACTCGTTTTCATCCCTGCTCCTCTCTCTAGACTACGAGCCCCTGAGGCCAGGGACTGTGGGCTTCTCTGGTTAGTACCCCTGGTGTCCACTCCAGTGCTTGGCACGAAGTAGGATTCAGAGCATGTCCTCTGAAGGCAGAGCTCTGCTCACTGAGCACTTCCCACGTGGCAGAACTGTGTCACTTTCTATACATTGGGAACGCAGGCAAGGGAGCCGTGATGCCAAGCAGAAACCCTGGAGCCAAACTGGGGAAGTTCCTGTCTGTTTTCTCATCAGTAAAATGAGAGTAACTTGCCACAGCTGAGATCTGAGCCCTTGCAGTTTGGCTGCCTCACCATATTGTTTGCAATGACTGAATGAGTATACATAAGGCAACCAGCACAGCACCTGACACAGCGTAGGCGCCCCATTAATGTTAGCCGTTATTATCATTAATGAGAATTAAACAAGACAGCGATGTCTGGCCCATCCATGGCCTGTGCTCAGCATCATACGCCCTGTCTCTTCTGTCAGAATGGGTGGTGGGATTTAGGAGGCCAAGGCGGGCAGATTGCCTGAGCTCAGGAGTTTGAGACCAGCCTGGGCAATACGGTGAAAGTCTACTAAAATACAAAAAATCAGCTGGACCTGGCGGCATGCACCTGTAGTCCCAGCTACTCGGGAGGCTGAGGCAGGAGAATTGCTTGAACCTGAAAGGTGGAGGTTGCAGTGAGCCGAGATCATGCCACTGCAGTCTAGCCTGGGTGACAGAGTGAGACTCTGTCTCCAAAAAAAGAAAAAAAAATGAAGGGCGAGTGGGAAAGAGGCAGTGATTTCCTCTCCTCCATTTGATCATCCATTTCTCAAACCCATCCTGTCTTCTCCCCCTTTCCTTGTAACTGCCCCAGACACCTCTTACTCCATGGCCTCCATAGACTCTTTAACTGGCCCTGTTTGCCCAGCAGCAGTGACCCCTTGGATCAGTCCTGGCCAGAACCGTCTTGCCTAGCCACTGCCTCTGGTACCGGAGTCCCCATGGAGCTCCCTCTGGGCCCCTGCAGCTCTGCTGGGGCAACTGCACAACCTGGCACAGTCTCCCCAGAGTCCAGGGCTGCTGGGGAGTATCTGGGTCTCATGCCATCCAGCCCTCTCCTCTCTCCACTGCCTGGGCTTGCCCCACCCCCAGCTCTGTCATCAGCACTCACCTGAGGGGTGCTCGGGGTTCCCATCTGACATGGGGGAGCCCTCTCCTGGGTGCCGGTGGTCCAGGTGGGCACTCTTGTAGTGGGCCTGGATGGTGGCGGTCCCACCTTGCTCAGCCTCCCCACCCGGGCACTCCGCCTCGCCCTGGGTGGCCTTGCCATTCTTCCGCCGCCTGGGTTGGTACTTGTAGTCTGGGTGGTCCTTCTTGTGCTGCATACGGAGCCGCTCAGCCTCCTCGATGAAGGGGCGCTTGTCACTTTCATTCAACAGCCTGAGGTGGGGTGGGTGGCAGAGAGGGGCCGGTGTGAGTGCCAGAGCACTCCAGGTTGGCCTCCCTCTGAGTGTCCATCTTGGAAGACGAGACCCTGGGATAGGGCACCCAGAGGACAGGACCCGGGTGGGGCTCTGCCATATGATTTATGGACTGAGAGATGTGAGGCCCAGAGGGCTGTGATCTCTGTCCCCAAATCTTTCACGGGCTGGAGGGTGAGCGAGGGGTCAGCCTGCTGCTCCTGGCAGCCCCTGAGGAGGAGTAGAGGTTTCAAGGGGCAGATGCCAGCTCAAGGAGAGGAAACATCAAAGCTGTCTGCAAGTGGAATTGGCTGTCTCATTAGGGGCTGAGCTCCCTGGGACTGGGGGTGGGCAAACAAGCAGTGTGGCTGGGGGAGAGCTCAGTCTCTGCTACTTACTAGCTGTGTGTGTGACCTTGAGCAAATTACTTCTCTGAGCCTGAGTTTCTTCACCTACAAAAGGATGATAACATCTTCTTAACTTGGGTGTGGGATTGGCCAGAATAATGGATGTGAAGTGCCTTGAACCAGGGCCTGGGAAGCAGGCTGAGCATCTTGAGAAAGAGACATTTTTCTTTCTCTCTCTTTTTTTTTTTTGTGAGGGAGTCTCACCCTGTCACCCATGCTGGAGTGCAGCGGTGCGATCTCGGCTCACTGCAACCTCTGCCTCCCGGGTTCAAGTGATTCTTGTGCCTTAGCCTCCTGAGTAGCTGGGATTACAAGCATGAGCCACCATGCCCGGCTAATTTTTCTATTTTTAGTAGAGACGGGGTTTCACCATGTTGGCTGGTCTTGAACCCCTGACCTCAAGTGATCTGCCCGCCTCGGGCTCCTAAAGTGCTGGGATTACAGGCAAGAGCCACTGTGCCCAGCTCAAGAGGTGCTTTTCTATTTATTTTTTTTTGGAGACAGTCTCACTCTGTCAACCTGGCTGGAGTGCCATGGCACAATCTTGGGTGACTGCAATCTCCACCTCCTGGGTTCAAGCGATTCTCCTGCCTCAGTCTCCCAAGTAGCTGGGACTACAGGCTTGTGCCACCAGGCCTGGCTGATTTTTGTATTTTTAGTAGAGATAAGGTTTAGCAATGTTGGTCAGGCGGGTCTCGAACTCCTGACCTCAGATGATCCACCAGCCTCAGCTTCCCAAAGTGCCGGGATGACAGGTGTGAGCCACTGCGCCCAGCCCCGAGAGGTGCTTTTCTAACGCTGCTTGCGTGGGTGGTTGGACCGGAGGATCTAGGGGTGGCCTCTCAACTCTGGGTCCTGACTGTGTGAATTCCAGCGTGGTGGGATTGAGGGGGCAGATGTGGGTCCTCTTCACCATGGGTCGCGGGGGAGGCACTGTTTCCTGTGGGGGATCCTATATCTGTGTCCAGAAGATAACAGAGGGTAGAGGAAGCTAGTCTCTCCTCAGACCCTGGGACAGTCCCCGAAACCAACACAGGGAGGGAGGAAGCCCTGAAGCCAATGCCCTTGCCACCAACTCCAGCCTCAGGCTAGGATTGGAGGGGGAGGTCATTCAGGGTTTGGCTGCCCCAGGGTGAGGAGGGCAGTATGCGGTACCATACAGAGGGGCCCGCGGGGAAAGTCCACAGATTCTAAGGTCCCAGACCTTGAGACTGACAGTCTATGAGTCTTGGTGGGAGCAGCCCTGTCTGTCAGTCCAGAGGACCTCTCTTTCCAGCTGCCCCACCCCTCACACCCCAGTGGGTGCCCTCTTCCCCCAGTCAGCAGAAGGCAGAGCCCTTCCTCCCCAGGCTGGGCGGGGGTGGTCATGCCAGGCACCTCCTAGCGGGCAGCAGCATTCCTCTGCGGCTTAGCCTCCCTGTCTACTCCCCCCACCCCCGCCCTGAGCCCAGCCCTAGCTCCAGCTTTCTCTGAGGGTCCCTCCAGCTGAGACTCTGAGTCAGTGGACACACTTAGGATGGAGATACTGGAGCAGGGCCTTGAGAGTCAGGGAGTGGGATGCAGGCGCCCTCTCTAATGGCTGGGACCAGGGGAGGGGTGGAGCAGGCCTTGAGAGTATCACTGGGGAGAGCCCACAGAGGAGAGAGCTGCTCACCCAGCAGCCCCAGCACAGAGGCTTCAGGGATAGCTGGGGACATGGGACACAGAGCTCACGCTCTCACTCATCCTTCCCTTGCCCCTTGCTCAGCAGGCAGCCAGCAATCAGCAAGAAAGTGACAGGGGCCAGAAGAGAGGGGTGATTTCAACATCGGATCCCACTGCCACCTCCTCAGCTAGTTCCCAGCATTAGCCTAACCCTGACAGAAACCTAAGCCCGGGCCCGCTGCCATCCCTGACCCCAGCCCTAACCCCAGTGCCTCCTCCACCAGCTGTGCGGGACAGCTAATTCCACCTCCAGCCCAACCCCAGATCCAGCCTGCCCAGCACCAGCCCTCACTCAACATTACTGGCCCCAAACCCCCTACATCACCCCCAGCTCTAACTCCAAACCCGTCCTCATTTGTGCCTTCCTGTCAGCCCTCTTTCCCCTTGGTCTCCCAGGTTTGGAATGGGGCTGGGAAGAGGTAGGCTGATCCCCCACCCAAACTGGAAACCCCAACCGGAGAGCTCCCACAGTGGGGCACCGATTGCTGCTACATGTGTCCTGCTAGGCCAGGGGCATAAGAAGATTTTACCTGGGGAAGGGGCCTGTGGCACTGGGAACAGGAGAGGCTGGGTGACCCCCTCTTATCTGTCTTCCCTTTTCCAGTTTGGCTCTGGTTTTTTCTAGGCAGGTCAACCAACCCCACAGCCATTACCCTGTGATCAGCCTCTACTGGCCCCTCCCCAGATGGGCATCAAAGGTTAGCATGACTTCAGGGCTCACATGGCCTGTTAGGACCTGGGCTCCAGTGTGTCTGATCCCACATTCCCTTGGGGCTCTCCACACAGTTTGTATCTTTCTCTTTTCGGTTTTAAGACACCTGTTTTCCAGCTCTGCCTACCTAACGACCCCCCTTCCTGACATCCTGGGAGTCACAGCTTGGGGAGGTTTCAGGAGACGCCCCTGGAGCAATTGGCCAGCCCAGCCCACATCCACGTGTCTTTCAGGGCCCCCATCCAGGGTCTAGGGAGCCACCGTCTGTTGGCATTGCCTTTGATCCTTGCCATGGTTCTGGCCCCTTCCTCCCTCTGGCATTGGGTTCTCAGCAAGCCGTTCGAGTTTTCCTGATCGCCACACCCCAGGCTGGCCCCTGTGCGCATTAACTTGAGTGATGGCCAGGAATGAGTCCTCCTGAAGGGAGTCCAAGCCCAGGGTTCTGGGCTGGGGGAATCTGGGGACAGGGACAAAGGAGGAGCCAATCTCAAACCCTTGGCAAGGGGAGGTAGAGGGAGAAGGGGTCCATCCTTGCTTTCACTCTCGTTGAGCTCGCACTGTGGTCTTCTCGGGGTCCCCAGGGCCTGCCCTGCCTGTCTGTCTGTCTCTCCTGGTTGTCCGTTTCTCACTTGCTCTTCTTTGTTCCCTGGCACTAAAGGTACTGGCCTGGGTCTAGCCCCACCCAAATATGAATGGACCTTGGTTGGAGGAGCTAGCTGTGACCTCTATTCTTGAGCAGAACTGGGCTGTCTGGGTCCACACAGCAGCCTGGTCGCTGAACCCTGGACCTGCCCTGGGTGAGCAGGGTGATAAGGGCTGAGGAAGGGCAGGGGAAGGGACACCAGGCCTTCAGCAAACACCTGGCAAGAACAGGCCAGGGGGCTGTTGAATCTTTTGGTCTGTTGGAGACCTTCCTGCTCCTTCCACCACTCTAAGCCTCTAGACCCAATCTCTACCCAGCTGTGGCTGGCAAGGGGGAGGGCAGTGGAAGGAAGGCAGGCTCCTCTGACAAAGTCCTAGCTTTCTGGAACCCAGATGCTCCTCTCTTGTTCTCAACTTCTTGTTTCCCCCCAACCTCTTGGCCACTCCTCAGAGAGAAGGTGATCCACCACTGTCTCCGGGGACAATGTCGGGAAGTCCTCTGGATGAAGTATGGGAGTCCTGGGTTCTGGCCCTGGCTCTGCCACCAACTTCTATGTGACCTTTGTTATTGATTCCTTTACCCTTCTGGGCCTGTCTCTTGGCCAGTCTAGTGGGAATCAGGTGACTGTTACCGGCTCACGTCTCCTGGAGTCCCTGTTCTCTTTCGGAGCTGCTCTGTGACTCCTGGGGTGGGAGTGGGGCGTTGCCTTGTTCCATACATCCCCAGGAGGCCTGGCTGAACCCCAGACCTGAGTTGAGGGTGGCAGAATCGCTCCCTGGGGGGTGGGACGTTTTTCCTAGAGGTGTGGGCCGGTCCCAGGGAACCTGGGACTCTGAGGGACCCTGGGCAGGAAGAGGGCCAAGGTTTCCTTCTGGACAGAGTGCTCAGCTCCAGCTCTGGGGCTGGGGGGAAGAGGTTGCTCAACATTGGGGTGGGGCGCTGGCAGGGAAGATGGCGCCGAACTGGGAGAGGGAGGAAAGGAAAGAGATCAGCTTGGTGGCTCTGAGACAGGGCAGGAGGGAGAGGCCCCTTTCTGTGTGTCCTCTCCCTAGGAGGATGAAGAAGCCCCCAACTCACAGGAGGGTGGGGTCAGAAAGTCCCAGGGAGGACCCTTAGGATAGGATGAGGTCCTGCAGCAGCAGGAACATGTTTCCCCCGAAGTTCTTAATCCCTCACTCTTCCAAAGACCCTCATCTGAATTCCTTGTTTGCTTGAACTTCCCCTGAGTTCTCCATCTGACTGCCTCAGTTTCCCTGCATCTCCAGCCAAGCCTTTGGTTCCTTCCAAGCGTTTCCCTCGAATCCTCCTGACCACAGCAGCTGGTGGCATGAGTGTGCGTGTCGGTGGGCAGGGCGTTCGTGAAGGCCTCCTTCCCTCCCTAGGCAACCCCAGGCCCCACGGTCTGCCACCCGCAGAATTCCAACCACGAGGGGGCGCCTTCCTGCCCGCCGCCCCGAGGGCAGACCCGGCCTAGGCCCCTGGAGTTCCGAGTTCCAGGGTCCTTGTGGGGGAAGGGCGGGCGCGGCCCCCACACCTGGTTTCAAGCCCCATCCAAGGAGGACCGCCAGGCAATGCCGCTCTGGGGTGCAGGAGGCCGGGCCGCCTCTGCTTCCCTGAATCCACCCGAAGCTAGAGGGCCGAGCCCGGGGCGGTCGGGGGCTCACCTCCAGAGCTTGCCCAGCGTCTTGCTGAGCTCGGCGTTGTGCAGATGCGGGTACTGGTCCGCGAGCTTCCTGCGCGCCGCCTGCGCCCACACCATGAAGGCGTTCATGGGCCGCTTGACGTGCGGCTTGCTCTTGCTGGCGCCATTGACGCGCACGGGCATGGGCACCAGCGTCCAGTCGTAGCCGCTAAGCACCTGGCTGACGGCCTCGCGGATGCACACGGGGAACTTGTCATCGTCCGCCTCGCCGTCCTGCTGCTCCTTCTTGACCTTGCCCAGCTCGCCGGGCCCCGGGCTGGCTCGCAGGCCCGATCCGCCGCCGCCGCCGCCGTCGGGCCCTAGCGAGGGCGCGCTCCCCGGGGACAGGCAGCGGGGCTCCTCGGAGCCCACGGGGCTCAGCTCCACCTCGGATAGGTCCTGCTCCTCCGCCATGTCGCCCCCGGCCGCCGCCGCCGCCTCCGCCGCCTCCCCCGGGCCCGCCGCCGGGGTCCTCGCGAAGAGTCCAACGCCCACCTGGATGGAAGGAGGGCGCGATGGATCGGCCGCGAGCGCAGCCCCGAGGGCGGCCCAGGACGGGACGCGGGCACAGCCCCGAGGTGGCGGCCCTTCCTGCTCCAGCTAAACCCACTCTGGCCCCTGGGGCCCACGCACATGCCAGACTCTAGGTGGGTGCGTCCCGCCTCTGCGTCTTCCCACCACCAGGTCCCAACCGTCTCTTGGTGTGGGTGGCTTTTTTTTTTTCAATCTCCTTTTTTTGGTGGAGGTTTGTTGATGATAAGGAAGAAAAAAACGGAACCTTTATTTTGCTCTAATCCCGGCCCCTGGAATTTCCCACCTTTTCTCTCACCTTTCCTTCTTCCCTCAGCCTGCCCCAACGGGGTTTAGAGGGGAGCCAGGTGGGGGGCAAGGGCGGGGTGTCGCCGCTCTCCACCCCACAGCAAAGTCCCAGGCCTGAGCGGGCCAGGGACGAGCAGGCTGCGCACTCACCTCCTCGGACCTCTCCTCCAGTCTGGGGCTCGTCCTTAGGAAGTGGAAAACCGTGTCCCAAGGTGTGCGGTCCAGCTCGGGGCTGGGGGGTGACGCTGGTGCGCTGGGAGGGAGGGGCGGGGGGCCCTGAGCCTCAGGCCACGGCCTTGTTAGGACGGAGCCTGAATCCTTACCACCAACCACCCTGGCCGGACAGCCCGAGACTGACTGAGCGACTGAGCCGCTGCAGAGGGCTGGGGAAGGAAGGAGGGGGAGAGGGGGGAGGGGGAGAGGAGGGAGGGAAGGGCAGAAGGTGGAGCCTCCAGGCTTTCCTTCATCCCCAACACTCAGGGCTCCTCCACCCGGAGCCCAGGCCCCCCCACCCAGATCGCTGCCCTGCTGCCCAGGCCCATCTCGCTGGGGCTTAGCTTAGGCTTAGTCCGGGAGGCGGAGGGGTGGTTAGGCCAGGGAAGGAAGAGATGAAGGTGGGAGGGTCAGAACTTGTTGCTTGGAGGAAAATTTGGGCCTAACCAGGACCCCCAACGTCTGCCTCGCGTGGCAGGATGGGCACTTGGCAGGGGACTAGGGAGAGACGTGAAGGTGGTGAGCGTCCTGTGAGGGAGGCTGGCCTGAGCTGCTTCATCTTCAAAATCCTGTTGAGTGCCTACTGCATGCCAGGCACTGCTGTCCAGCTCCTCACCCTGCCTCCCACCTTTTCCCAGGCTGCCCTTTCTGCCGCATCCTGCACAGTGGGAGAGACTTCTCAGGGCTCCGCCTGAGACATGCAGAGCCCCAACTTGACCCCTGGCCCCTTCTCTGCAGACACCCAGCGCTCACATGGGCTGGTCTGGTTGAAGGGGCTCAGGGGTTCCCAGGAGGGCCAAGGTGGGACAGGGTGGGGGCCCTCTCTCAGTAGGTCTTAGAGGCATTCTGAGTTCCTGCTTCCTGGGACCCAACTCCCTCCACGCGGGGATCACCCTGTCTTGGGAGAGGGTGAGGGAGTCCTAGTTCTGGTTGTCATGAAGTCCTGTACTCCGCCACCCCAAGAAGGGTTGGGGCCTTGCCCTGCCTCTTCCCTCCTCTGCCCACCTCTCCCTCCCTCCCCTTTTCTTTCCTGCCCATCATCCCAGGACACCTTCTCTTCTCTCTTTCCTAGGCCTCTCCTCCAAAGGCACAGTGTCTTTCTATTAACTGAGGGCAGCCCCGCCCAGGTGTTGAGGCCAAGGTGAGATGCACGTGGGGAATGCAGTGGAGCCGGGGCCACATTGGCGACCATGTGTGGTTCTGAGCCCCTCAGCAGCTGGGCAAGGCCCCAAGCCCACCTCAAGGGGTGCTGTCTGGAGTGGGCTGGAAGGGGTCTGGGGAGGCAAGGCCTCATGCTTGGGAAAGGCCAAAGGGGTGTGGGGGGTGGGTAATGGGATACAATGAGGTAGTCACACGAGGCAGAGGCATGTTGGGGGTGGGGGGAGCGGACACTGGAACACACACACACACACACACACACACACACATGCTCACACACACAACCAGCCAGACAATCGGGCCAGTGTGTCTGGGGCCTCGGAGCCCAGTGAATTAGGAGTTTGATAAGGGTTTTCTCTTTCTCTCGCTTGCTGGCCTTGGACAATCTCCCCCCAGTTTTCCTCGACGCCACCCCCGGCGCTGCCAACCCTCCTCCCCCCGCCTCTCTTCTCTTCCCTGTGCCCAGACTCTTGTTCGGGGCCTTGAAACAGTGAGCTGTCTTTGTTCGAAATACAGGTGAACGGCAATCATGTGATTAACACACACACACATAAAAAGCTTTTTAACAGCGCCCGCTCGGCCTCAGAACCGCCCGGAGAGGAGCCGCCCTGGATGGACAGAGGGACGAGGACGAGCATCTAGCCAGTCGTGCCCCGGCTGCCCCGCAGTCGCCTCCAACACCCGCTGCTGCCCGCCCGCTGCCTGCCTGCCTGGCATCTCTCTCTCCCGGTGGGTCCCCACTCATCCTTCCACCCCTCAGTTTGTCCTCTTTGAGGAAAGGACCTCCCGGCTCTCTGCTGTGTCTGTGACTGGCCTGAGGCCCCCTGGGGCAAGAGGGGTGGTTGTGGAGGGAAAGAGCCTAGAGTTCAGAGGTAGAATGTGGGGTCCCACAGCTGCCCCCTCTCTAACTCCCTGCCTCCTCCTTTGCCCTCCTTGGCCCAGCTGTGCCAGGATGGGGGTGGGGGTAGCAGTGGGCACGCTCTGTCTGCAGGAAGCCACGCTAGACAGAAGGGGCCACTCCCTCTCTCTCTCCCTTGTCCCCGCACAGACACTGCCTTCCTCTCAGGGCTGTGCTGGGCTTTCTGCTGAGCAGTGCTGGGTGAGGCAGGTGGGCCTGCAGAGGGGTAGGAAGGGCTGTCAGATGACCAGTGCTGTGTGTGTGGTTGGGCCCCTGCTGTGAACACATCCCTGCCCACCCTGCTGGCAATTGGGTTCCCCTCCATCCCATCTGAGGCCCTAGGAACCCAGTTTTCTCCAGTAGGGGAGGGTGAAGGACCCACATTCATCCCTGAAGAGCAGGGAGCTTGGAAAGGGGAGGGATCCCGGCTGAAGACACCTGGGCCTCTGCCCCAGCAGGACGACAGGACGGCCAGCGTTGCCTTCTCCTCCTTTCCCTGCTTGGGGTGGTAGGGGTCCCTTTACCCCTCATTCCTGACCCTTCCTTAGGGATGCTTATAACCTCCTTACCCCACCCCCATCACCCCTCTGTCCTGAAATGAGGGTTTGTCACCATCCATGGCAAGGTGTGGTGTCTGGTGGGCTCTGTCGCCTGTCCTCTCTCTGGGTGTTTATTCCGCAGCAGAGAGGGGCCTGGTCTGAGCGGAATGGTGGAAATCCAGGCTTCCTTCCATGGCCCAAGGAGGCCTTTCTGGAGCAACAGGGTTTTCCTGGGACTCTGACTGGCTTTTGTTAAGGGTGGTCCCAGATTTACTCAGAAGATGGGTCCCGGAGAGGAGGAGGGGAAAGGAGTATCTGTCAGTCAAATGTGAAGCCCACTGATGACACTGCCTGGCAGAGCTGCCTCCGCTCAGCAGTGACCCTTCAACCCCCAGCTCCAAAGTCCTCTTCCTGAGGACTGGAGCTGGCCCTGCTTTCCACCTGTGTTCCCCACCCTGGGTTCCTGGTCCCTCACCTGTCACATGGGGCGATGGTCACCCTCCCTCCCTGCCTGCCCTGCAGGATACACTGAAATGAAGCTCAGGAAATCTGCTGCCTGCAGAGCCAAGGGTGATGGAGGAGTGAGGGATGGTATGGTCAAGTTGAGGCTCTGCCCCAGCCTCAGTTTCCCCACACAGGCATGAAACTGTCATCCTGACTCTCAGAGGACAGGGCTGAGATGGGATGAGGGAACACAGGGAAAGTGTTTAGCACTTCTGAGTGCTGTGCGGATGCAATTGGGTGGGGGGTGGGGGTCCTGACCATCCTCTCTCCAATTCCATCTGGCCTGTGCGCCCTCCTACATCCAGTTGCCCTGTGGGGGCCTTTCCCAGGGGCCTGGCTTGCAGAGACAGGGTTCGGTATAGGGCAGTGCTTCTCAAATGGGAAGGCGCATGGGGATTCTTCAGATTGGGGGGGGGGTTCTGAGGTTCTGCATTTCTAACCAGTTGCTTAGGACTGGCTCTAATTCTTGCTGAATTTAGAATCACTTGTGGAGTTAAAAAAAAAAACATGCTGGGCCAGGCGTGGTGACTCACACCTGTAATCCCAGCACTTTGGGAGGCTGAGGTGGGCAGATCCCCTGAGGTCAGGAGTTTGAGACCAGCCTGGCCAACATGGTGAAAACCCATCTCTACTAAAAATACAAAAATTAGCTGGGCGTGGTGGTGCATACCTGTAATCCCAGCTACTCGGGGGGCTGAGGCAGGAGAATCACTTGAATTCGAGAGATGTAGGTTGCAGTGAGCCAAGATCGAGTCAATGCAGCCTGGGTGACAGAGTGAGACTCTGTCTCAAAAAAAACGAAAAGCAAAACCAACGACAGCAACAAAGCATACTGAAGCACAGATCCCGCCCCAGACTGCTTGATTCCGACTTTCTGAGGTTGAGGGGCAGGCATGACGTTTCCTGGGAGGTCTTCACAGGAGTCTCTGGATCCCTTAGGCTGTGAATGATCCCCTTCCAGAAGCAAAATCGCCAGGGATGGACAGGGGTTCTTGGGTACTGGACCCTCCAGCCGGGCAGGTTATATTGGGGTATCCAGGGATCTTCGGGGTGTGGCAGTGGAGGGCTGACAGGTACAGTTAGTGGTCAAGGGCAGTGTAGCGACAGAGACAGAAGCCACCCTGCGGGTCTTCAGCTGAGTCTGGATGAGTGTCTTGCGGGGGCTCTGGGGGCTCCCGTGAGCATTTTCTAGGCCACCTCCCCCTTTGGATAAGGCTGTGCCATCCTTTATCTGGGATGTAGTGGAAAGTGACTCGAGGTCAAGAAATCCCACCTCTAGTACCCAAGGGGCCTTAGGCAAATCATGCTGTGAACCTCTCAGGACTCAGCTTTTGCATATGTACAATATTGATAATCTTATGCAACTGAGATATCCCCAAGTGATGAGAGAATTAAATAAGAATACACAAGGCCGGGCACGGTGGCTCACGCCTGTAATCCCAGCACTTTGGGATCTCTTGACCTTGTGATCCACCGCTGAGGCGGGTGGATCACAAGGTCAAGAGATCGAGACCATCCTGGTCAACATGGTGAAACCCCGTCTCTACTAAAAATACAAAAAATTAGCTGGGCATGGTGGTGCGTGCCTGTAATCCCAGCTACTCAGGAGGCCGAGGCAGGAGAATTGCCTGAACCCAGGAGGCGGAGGTTGCGGTGAGCCGAGATCGCGCCATTGCACTCCAGCCTGGGTAACAAGATCGAAACTCCGTCTCAAAAAAAAAAAAAAATTACACACACACACACACACACACACACACCCCTAACTAGCCTAGTGACTACTTAACAAATTTGAATCAGAGGAAATCATTTCGCTCTTGGGCCAGCACTGGGAGGTGTGGAGGGGCCTCACCTTAAGTCAAGTGCACAAGTATTTACTGAGCAGCCACCTCGGCCTCCCCGTTAGGAGTTTGTAATCAGTTTATAATTTGCCTTTTGAATCCTAATGTCAGATCGGGGTGGCATGCCTGCTTGGGATGACAAGCTCCTCTGTCATGGGTGAGCCTCCTCTGCCATGCCCCTTCACAGCGAAGGCGACACTCCAGGGCCTCCCCAGGTCCTGG